CCACTCACGTGGGAAAAAAAACAATATAAACATAATAAGCTCTCTTTCTCTGAATCCATCCTAAAAATTATATATGATTAGAAAATGAGCAACTAATAACTTCCCTCCTAGTGCTCCGATCTCTCCCAAATTCATTCTTGTTTCTTAAATTCTCAATTCTCCCCCAAATTTGCTTCCTAGATCCTGCGAGAAATTACCTTTCGATTCGAGGGAGGATCAGTGACGGCGGCCGGCGGCGGCGGGGATGGGATGGATTCGGGTGAGATTAGTTGATTGGTTTGAGCGTTTTGTAATCTCAGTTTGTACTCTTCTTCTCTATTAGTGAAAACCCAATCTCCTTCTTGCCCCGTGGACGTAGGCAATTTGCCGAAGCACGTAAAACTATTGTGTTTGGATTTGTGCTGTTGTTTTTGATTTGTTTGGCCTTTATCTCGACGTTTGTTTGATTTGGTTCTCGAAGCACGCCCGTTTGGTTGTCACACTTCCACGACGCGCACAACAAATGGTATCAGAGCTTCAGATTTTAGATCTAGGGTTTTGTCTTGGTTAGAGGAGTAGATCAATTTGGAAGTTTGGCTAGGGCTTCGTTTGGTGAGAAATGTGGGATCTTTTTGGTAAAGACTCTATTTTTTTAGTTTGGATCTATTCTTCGTTTATTCCGCATTGGTTTGTTGGCGCTTGGGCTATTTGGAGGAGTAGATCGCTTTGGAGGCTCTTCGAGGGCTTCGTTTGGAGATAAAGGTGAGATTTTTCCTATTTGTGGATCTCGTTGCCGTCGTGCGGGGTGAGATCGTTTGGAGACTCTTGTTAGGGTTTCATTTGGAGGTAAAATTCTCTCCTTTATCAGTTTGGATCTATTCTTCATTTGTTGGTGCTTTGAGATAGTTGGCCGAGATAGAAGGATTTGAGGCTGGGTTATTTGTTTATTGATACGGTGCATTGGATTGTTGAGAAGTGCCTTTGACCTGCATATTGAAGTCCTTTTGAGCACGTTGGTATGAGCAAGGAGACCGAGGTGGAGTTTGGCACTTCTATTCGATGATTGAGGGGTCTTCTATTTGGTGTTCAGTCAGGCATTTGGGGGCTTTCCAAAGAGGCATCATTGGAAGATAAATTAGTATTTTAGTTTCCTATGTTGGGGATTGTACTAGGCATTTGAGGGTTGCAACCAAGTCCCGTTGGTTTTAAAGTCCTAGTAGTCAACAACAGTTGAAGAAGTACATTGGCAGTAAGGTGAAGGTACTTTATTCTGGTTGTAGAGGGAGGTACAAGAGGGACCTACTGTATTTGTGCCGAGCTCATGGCAGTTTGAGACACTTCATTGGTGTGAAAACTTTGAGGCGACAAGGCGAGATGGCAGATTTGGGTAGCTG